AAGTCACCTGCAACGCGGCCAGCCCGTCCCTCTGCCCCCACCCTGTTTAGCGACATTTCTGGCCTCCCATCTCGGAGGTGAAAGCAATGGCAAGCTCGAGTGGAGGCGGTGAAACGGTGGGGAAGGCAGCAGCGGTGCTGATGGGGAGTGACAGGAGGGTGTGAGCTCAGCTTTGGCCAGTCCTGGGGCGTGTAACCCACAGGGGTGCCTTTTTGTCCCCCTCCCCATCCCGATGGAGCGATTTTTTCCAGGTCCTCGCGACCCTCCCGGCACAGCGGGTCCGAGAGGCGCTTGTGTGGTCTGTGCTTGGAAGGAGGACGGAGCTGCTCGGCTGAGAGCGGCGGGGGGGGGGGGGGGGGGGTCTGGAGCCCTGCTGCTGCTGCCCACCGCCTGAACTGTCCTCCAAGGGGTCAAACTGTTCAACTTCAGCCCCTTTGCCGGACTCAATCCTACTTTACGGGAACAAAAGCCCAAAGTAGGCGACGATCTAGAAATGGGAGCACAATGATTTAAGCTTATCACACAGCCCAGAAATAAAGGACGCTGAGCTTGTGTGCGGGAGAGGGGGAAGACCTTCAGAAAGGCTTTGTTTGCCCTAAGAAGATTGAACTCTGAGGCGACCCAATAGCCCTAAAAGTTTAGGGTCTGTGTTGCTGAGAGACCTTTGGAGACAGCCCATCCACACTTCGACCTCACAAGTTGTCAGCCGGCATTAACAGCTTGTCTGCCCCAGGTGAACGGGGGTGCAACACCCACTGGGGGAGGCCACAAAGCTCCAGGGACAGGATGACCAGACCCTCCCAGCTCTGCCTCTGCAGGGCCCAAGGCACCCCGTGGATCTCCTGAGGGTTTAGGGGACCAAACCCAGGAGTGGGACAGTTTTGCTTTCAAACTAGGGCTCAGAATATGACCCCCACATGGCACGGCACTGGGAAAAAGACGCTTCTTCCCCGCGAAGCACATCCTTCCTGATGCCCCTAGGATAGGGACCAACGCCCTGACTCTCAAGCCTCACCCGCAAGTCCGGGGTTCGTTTTGGGATCAAGGCGAGGAGGGGTTCTCCCCCCGCAGAACACTGCTCCAACATCCTTCCCTAGTTCCCCCTGCCCCAGGCAGATGAGCCCCTCGTCAGGGGCCGATTGTTCCCGATGGATTTGCATGGCAGGTGCAGGCCTGCAGAGCGATTTTGCCATCGTAACCCCCCCCCATACCCCTCACAAGAGAGTTTGCCTCCCCCCCTCTTGTGAAAAAAGGCCGCCGGTGCCTTCCTTTCCCATGAAGAAGAGAAGAAGCTTGAGGATCGCGTGAACACGCTTCAGTTTTCTTATTCTTTTCTATAGACGTGGGGAAAAGAACAGCCGATTGTGTGAAAAACCCAGTGCCTGCAAAAAGGGACATTGGCCATCCAGGCGAAGGTGCGCGAGGGAGAGCACTAATCGCTGAACCAGGAGACAAATACGATTACCAGCTCCGAGCCTTGAGTCAGAAAGTCTCATAGACTTTAAGATGTTAATCCCCGACATAATCCTTCCTTTGGCGTGTAGGAATAGTGCAGCCACAAGAGTTGTTTTGTTATTTATATTGGCGTTTAATAAAACTCAGCCAGTAGTGAATGGGCTGCCCACTCTCCAATGGTAATTAATTCCCTATTTCAGTGACCCAATTGTGCTGGGATAGAGCAGTGGGACAGTCCCACTGCCCCAACCCGCCTTTGTGCAGCTACACGGCTCTCGTGCTTCAACAGCTATGGAAACTCATTCTTTTGATGTCATTCAATGAGTTTTCCTTGGGCATCTTCTAAACTTCAAGGACCCTTTTCTTTCTCGAACGCCTGAAAAGCAGGACTAGCTTGACCACCTCTGTAGAATTTAATGATTTGGTGAAAGGGCCTTTTTTGGGGGGGTTTGTGTAAGGAAAGAGAGAAAGAAAAATTTGGCAGGCTGCTATCAAACAGGGGGCTATCTAAACTTGAGCGCACCCAACGTATTCATCTCCTAATTCGTACGGGTCTTAAAAGCCACTTTCCCCGACTCAAAATACCGCGGGGCTTCTCTTGAGCTGAGGCATTTCTAGAAGGGATTTGCTAGCAAAGAAGATCACTGTTTACCCCACACGACAAACTCACACCAGGCCTCGGACGAGTACAGAAGTTAATGGTGTTTTAAGAAAGCATTTCCATCCACCAAAGGGAAAAAAAGTAAGATGCAAGGAATTGGTTGTATTACTTTTACGGGGCTTGCTCTTTTGGCTCTTGGGCAGAGCTGTAGCAGTGAA